CTTAGTACACTTAGATTAACACCTCCTTAACTTGGAATACCACATGCAATAAATTCAGGTTAAGGTTGCACTAGCTTTCTTTGGCAGCTGCTTGCATTCTGCCCATGAAAAAGTTTATCCTTGTGAACTACTAATTCTCCAGTGTCTACCTGTGTAGTTGAACTTTTAAAATGTAACATTAAATTTCATCCCTGATAAAAGGTTAGTACAGTTTAAAAATCACTGTGAATTGTACTTTTCATCTAATGTTGACAGTATCCCTTTTAGACATGTGTTTTATGCACAGTTGATAAGTATAGCTTATCTAGCACTGATTGCACTCTTATTGAAAACATCAACCAGCTAGAGAATGCTCATATTCATCCCCTGAGATTTTACCTTCAGGATTAGTGTTTTTATTAATTAAAAATCTTTGTTGTGGCATTTAACTACCACAAGAGTTTCTGTCTAGTCCCCTTGCATCATGAAAGGTAAGCTGGCTATTAGCTCTTTGATTTGCTAGAGGCCTTTGAAGAAGCTGATGCTTAAAAATCTCCCTATAAAAATTAATTGTAAAAAAGAAAATACAACCCTAGCAAAAAAACTCATCAAAACCAATGCATGCAATAACTTTGCTAATGAAAGGAAATGAAGATAACCAAAAAACACATTAATTATTTTGTTAATAGGCACCAGGTGAGTATCTTGATATGACGAGAAAAATATAAAGAAACTGTCAACTGAAATGGAATGGTTGGCATGGTATAAGGAAAACAATATAAAAATGGAATTCTTGTCCATACATCCAAGAGCATTTGTTTTTACACAAAATATGAGGTGTGATAAAAATGAAGGTAAATGCTTACTTGTTAAAAATTTATTATACTGAAAGATACATTGCCATTCATCCGCCTCAAAATACTTCTCCTCACTTTGAACACGTTCTGGTCACTTTCTGAAGCAGTTCTGGAAGTATTCCTTCATGAGTGTCTAGTTGCATTGTCATAGCCGCTTTGATGTCTAGAACTAATTTCAAAACGTTTACCTTTGATGGTCATTTTAGCATTGAAGGTGAGCCAGAAGCCTCCCAGTGCCAGATTCAGTGAATAAGGTGGATGAGAAAACACAGGGATGTTTTTATGAGCCTGTCTTTCTGCTGGATGGCTCTTGGCAGCAACATTCACAATATTTTTTATCCAAGCTCAGAAAGACACTCATGAAAAATGACTTCCAGAACTGCTTCAAACAGTGGCAACAATGATGGGGTAAGTGTGTTCAAAGTGAAGAGGATTGTTTTGAAGGGGATTAACGGCAATGTATTTTTTACTGTAATAATATTTTCAGTTCAAAAGTTTACTATATATTTGGATCACACCTCATAGTTCTAACTCAGAATATCTTTCCACCAACAAAGTCAGAAATTAGCATGACTTGAATACATATTGTAATTTGTGCAGCTAATCATTAATCTGATGACTAAACCAAGAAAGCAACTCTTCCTTATCACTGTTGTGATCTTTAGAAAAAAATAGCTTATTTTTGTCATCCATGGATTTTAGAAAACATTGTAGAAAGTAAAAGAATTTTTTAAACTACAGGAAGGTTAAACACTTGATAAATAAATATTTTTAAGCATCAGTCCTCTGCAGTCTTGACTTTGTCATTTTCTGCTGTATGAACCAACTTTCAGAAGGAAACTTTTAGGTTGTTGTTGGTCTTACTTATTGTTACTATTTAATTATATCCAAATCCAGCCATCAATTCACATCTTGAGTTCTAATTGCCTCTGAGAATTCTATGCACAGAACAATAGCTAGAGTGACTCTTCAGAACAAAAGTCATAAATATAGGTTCTTCTTGATCTTGATGAATTAAAACCAAAGGAAGGTAGACAGTTTGTTTGCAAAAAGCCATCTGTTTATTTGTATACAGCATTTGTATTCAAATTTAAATACATCAATCAACTAAAAAGCATCAGAATTCATAGCACAGTAAACAAGAATACTGAAGAGACATACACTTTGAGAAAACCAAGGAGTTAATGAGGTTTTGAACCTCTTTAGTTTAATCTTCTCTAGTCCCAGTGAGACCTCTCTGGTGTGGTACAGTGCATGACTTATTTTACACTGACTCTTGCTACTTCCAAGCTCAGAACATGAATCAACAATAAATACTAAATGAATTAGCAGCTATCAGCATAGCAGCTGTATCAGTATGGTCTTTTATTTAAGGAACATTTTCTGGTCTATGGTGAGTCAGCCAGTAACTTACCAATAACAAAACTATTCTGGATCCCTGTGTGTTGCGTAAAGTTATGAATCTTTCAAGAATATTGGCCAAGTGGTTGGAGGTGTAGCTCAGTGGGAGTGCATCTGTTTCACATGTACAAGACCATCGGTTCAGTCCCCAGAACCAAAGGGGGAAAAAGATGAAAACATGGCCAGTTTCAAGTGGCTAGAGACTTTGGGATAGGTGCCAACCCCTTGCTGATAGCCCCAAAATGTTAGGAGATCAGAAGACAAATATTTCTAAGAATTTGAGCCTAGACATTTGTCTTTACACCCATAAATTTGGAATATAAGCTTCCAGCTAGAGCCGTGCCTGAGGCAATAAGTTCATTGGTCTTGCAAGAATCCTACTGAACCCACTTGTACTTCATGGTAGGAATTCTTTGGATTCCTTCTGCATTTAAATATCTTTAGCTGACTATACATAACCAGGAGTGCAAACTGCTGCCTTATGCCCCTAGACTTGCCCTCTGGATTGTCCTGTGCATGGATATCATGTTTTCAGCTAAACGAAGAGAGGCAGAGTAGTACAGCAGACAGTTCCTTAATCACTCTTAAACATCAGTCTCCTCATCTGTTAAACAAGTATGATAATAATACCTGTTTTATAGAAATAAATGATGTAATCTAGGTAAAGCAATTAACAGCACTAAGGGATTCAGTTATTATAACATTATTATTCCCTCAACCTCCTTTCTTAATTATATTCTGTGACACAGAATATATGCTTGGTGGATGAATAAAATGAATGATGCATTAAAATGAAAAACAAAGTTGTAAAATGATTGCACAGGTATTTAAAGAGAATTAGGTGACATCCAATTCTCATTTGCCACATGAAAAAATAGTTATGTAATTTTAGCCTGAGATTATCTGTTTCAGTTTTCATTTTATAGGTGAGGAAAATTCAAATTCAAAAGCTCCAAATAACATAATGGGGCTATTCCTATGTTTTTGCTTAGAATGAGATTTGCTTTTACCTCTTTCCCTCAGTCAAAAATAAAATCTTAGTCTGTAGCTATTCCTGAAGGTTACTGAATCAATAGCTTTTTATTATGTGGCTTACAACAGCTTTAGGCTTTGAAATAAGGGGATTTCTGTCCCATTACCTCTTAGCTGACAGTATCTGTTGTTTATGTCTCATTTTGTGACAGTCACTCATTCAGTAGTGACTAAAAGCACATCAATATACTTATCATGGTCTTTACATTCAGAAAATAGCAAAAGTACGTATTATTACTAAATGATAACCTATTTAAGACAGAGACTTCTCCTTAAAACAATCTCAATTGATTTCCTTCCATACTTGCATAAAAGGGCAGAAAAATTGTTATGAATATTCTCATTATAGAGACAGTTTTAGTAAGGACTGTCAAGAAGTAGGACCCATCACTAAATAGTTGAGGTTATGGATGTGAGGTGATAGATTTGATCACTACAAAATCTATACATGTACTGAAACCTCATATTACACTACATATACATAATCAGTATTTGTCAATTAAAATAAAACCAAAATGTATCCTGTGAAATACAATTTTAAAATTTCCAGGTGAGATTTTAATCCAACACATTCTCTTAATATGTATCTCATAGCTGAAACACAAACCTATGAACATTGAAAGAGAATTGATCAATATTCTTTTATCTTCCTTGGTTTTGCTTTGTCTTATTTGTAATTTTTGTTTTAAGTATTCTGGAATGTGATTAAACTCATGTCATTCTTTAGGTATTTATATGGCTTTTATATTGAATTCAAAACTCTTATTACCGTTGTGCTCTCTGACATCATTTATGAAATGACATTGCATTGAAAAATAAGAAACTACATATATGTAAATATAGTTTTAGAGTTTATAACTCATCTCAACTAAACAAGCCTATTTCATCCCCACTTACAGCTATAATGTAAAGGATGAATTTAAAAACTGATAGTATTTACTATAAAAAAAATTTCATCAGTAATGTTCATTACAGCATTATATTTGTAATAAAATTTGCTAAAATGCTCGCTACTTTCAAAATAGGTAAAACTGTAAACTTAATAGCATATTATGCAGATTATAAAATTATCTTGACTAACATATATATATATATGTAATATTAAGTTCAGATAAAAGGAGCTTTATATATGTACCATAAGATGCAAAGCAAAACTAAAAACCTATGAGCCAAAAGATTAAGGAAACTATTCCAAAATGGAAACAGGGTTTTCATTCAGGTAAAGTTTTGTTTGTTTGGCTTGGGTTTTGTTTAGGTGTTGTTTCTGGCTATTGTTGTTCCTTCTTTGAATTTTCCTGAATATTCTAAATTTCCTACGCTTCTCAATTTTATAGTAGCAAAAAACTTCAAATTAGTGTGAATTTTTCCTGTTTGTACTCAGCTACAATGTAGTGAAACTACAGAGCTTTGAAACCCTTTCTTAAAAGACCGTTTCTGAGAAGGGTGCCAGGAGGTAGGTCCTTCACGGTGCGTCTTAAGTGACCTAATCTCAGTGTGTCCCGTTGAGTTCTGTTCTTTTGGAAAGGTTTGCATAATGAGCAATTTCATCTTTTCCTATTAAAAATGACCTCCCATCCTGAATGTGGCCTTCACAGATGACTGAGGTTTTTTGGTCACAGTCTAAGCAGAAACAAAGCAAAACTACTTACATTTTGGTCTTGGATTCTAGACTTTACTTCCATACAAGCTCACGGCTTTGTTGACAAGTTTGATTTTGTTTTAACACTCCAGATCCAACAAGGGTAATGGTTCCCCCTTCCAGTATGGATGTCACTGTTGGAGAAAGCATTGTCCTGCCATGTCAGGTGACACATGATCACTCATTAGACATCGTGTTTACATGGTCATTTAATGAACACCTGATAGACTTCGACAAGGACGGGGACCACTTTGAAAGAGTTGGAGGGGTAAGTATTAATGTCATGCCATCCACATGAAACAGTGTGCAAGCAGACTTTAAAAACTGACTCAAACTAACTTGTTTAGGTTAACTTAAGAAAATAAAATTACTGTTATAAAACTAATTTTGTTCAACCACCTTATTTTGCAAAACTCTTGGTTAATTCCTGTTTCATTCTGCATAGTAAACAAAACACTATTTATTGAGTAATTGTGTATAGCAAGCCTGCTCTATAATTTTACAACAGTTCTACAAGTTGGTTACTCCTATCTGTGTATACATGAAGAAACTAAGGTTTACAGGAGTTATGTGTGTCATGATTTTCCTCCAATCTTTCTAAACTGCAGCACTCAACTTTAAACTTCAAAGTCCAAGTTCTCTGTTCATAACATACAATATACCACAGAACTTTATTAAGAAAATAGTTTAAGGATATCTTCAGTGTATGTCTTTAGGTCATTAGTTGTACTCCCTTTGATGCTTATAGAAGATTCATCATTGTAAATTTAGCACTTACTTTCTTGATTCTGGAAGTCTGGTAAAGTTATTTATGATCTGCAGGTAATTTGAATACAAATGCTTGAAATTTTTAAATGATTTACTTTCTATAAGAATATATATTGTCATTAAACATGGCATAAAAGAGGTTAGATTGGGGCTGGGGATTTAGCTCAGCAGCACAGCACCTGCCTGGCAAGCGCGAGGTCATAAGTTCAGTTCCTGGTACTGGAGAAAAAAAAAAAAAAAAAAGATCTGGGAAAAAAAGATCTAGAACTAGGAAAAAGTTGAATATATTGGATGTATTAGAGTTATTCTTAAAAAAATCTATATTTCCATTGGTAATAAAGATTCTCTCAGATTTCCCTTCACTTGGAGAAACCTAATGAAAAGACAATAGAATATAGAAATGGGGTTCTTGTTTTTAAAGCCCTCCCACCCATAAGAATATTATTTGACTATCTTGTCTTACCTCCCTTAGGTTGAATATACAGGCCTAAAGCTTACAAAGTCATCCATATTATATACTAGGGATATATTATCCACATAAATATAGTGCTAATTCTTTTCAATACATGTACACTAAATATCTCAAACAGAGTTTGAGTTATAGACTACCAAAAAATGATTTGAATGACTATTTTCTCAATTTTCCCAAGGACAGTATCCAACTAATATCATTGTACATGCAAAGAAGAGAAGTTAATTCATTATATCAGTGGATGTCTCAGCTCATTAGGGATTCTCTCTTGGAACTCCAGTTGAGAAATACTGGGTAACATTACTAGTAGTAACCATTCTAGACCTACTTCTTCATTTGGTTCAGCTTAATAACTTTTTCTAATTCAGAGAGATATTAGATACTTCAAAAGGGCAGTGAGAATATTAAATACCTTAAGGTCTAGGGCCTGGGGATTTAGCTCAGCAGAAAGGCGCCTGCCTGGCAAGCTCAAGGTCGTGAGATCGGTTCCCGGTACTGGAGAAAAACAAAAAAATAAATAAATAAATACCTTAAGGTCTAAAGACATGCATAGCCCCATCTATACCACAAGAGAAATTACTTAATAAACTTTAAAGTTTGTACTATATGAAGGCAAGATAACATTGATTATAATAACAAAGTATATACTGAGAAAATTCTTTATAAATTAAACAGATTGGTAGTTTTTACATTAAAACTAAAAACTTAAATAGGAAAGATATTAAAAACCGTATCTCTGAGAATGTCATAGACATCAAAGAATAAAAATAGGTCCCTGAAGCTCAAAATGGATATGCCACCAATCAGACATGTGGTCTCTGTTGTCAAACCTCTCTGTTGCTTTTGACAAAAACTTCTGCGGGCCCCTGACCATGTTATCATTTTGCTGAGGTCCAGATGAAGATGCCATAATGGAATCAAGCAGAGATGGCTGTGCTGTTGGCCTATGGAAAATGTCTGCCTCTATGAAACTGGTACTATCACCAGTCAATTATTGCTGAAATAACTGCAAAATTAAGGATAGCACTGCAGACAGTGAGATCCAAGTGTAATGGTCACAGGCTCAGTAATGTCTGTAGTGTGGGGACCTGACAAATAGAAGAGGTGAACCTTTGCCATTCTGAAGTCCATCCTGTTTCAGGGTCTGCTTCCTGACTCAGCATAACGACAGTGAGGCTTGGTAGACTCGGCCTACTGTCATTCTAGAAGAGTTATTATTTCATTATCCTTTGATACTCTCAGGTACTCTGTGGAACACAGCAGACCACAGGGGTAGCGGGTGGCGGGGAGCTAGCACTGTTGTATTCTTTTCAGTAGGAGCATAAATGTAGTATTCAGTTGACAGTGTGTTTCCAAGGCAGTCTCCTTCCTGAGACTCTTACTCAATCTTGACTTTGTTTTTTAAATTTCATTTTATTTTAAAGATGCAAATCCAGTCAAAATTTGAGAGTGAATAGAGCAAGCTTGATCATGAGTGTTAGTAAGTTGCCATGCTCTGAAATATTCATGCTACAACAAGTTTCTCTGACATCAAAGCCCCCTTGTGAAGAAAGTGAATTGTGAAGGCAGTGTAGGCATTCCCCTAATGCCAGTATGGCTTCCACCTTGAAATCAATATGGCTTCCCACCTTCCTTACACACATCCTGTTGTGAGGCTCACTTTGTATTTAAATCTTTATTTAAAGTTCTGACAACTGAAATGTCTTACATAAAAAAGCTTAAGAATAATACCTAGTGTAATAAAGATGATCATCGCTTTTATTTGCAAAGTGCCTAACCATTTATCAATCACCTTCTTGTTATCTGTTAGCTCCTTCATCTTCATGAATTCCCCATGAAATCAGTTAGCAATTATTCTCTCATCTTCCTAAGAGTTTATAAAACATGACCAATAAATAGTAGAAACTGGATGAGAACATAAATGTTATAAATAAAAACTTTCAGATAAGAAAATCACAGGTCTTCTGGAATTAGATTTAAGCTCTTCGACATGATTGTTTTGCAAAGAAAATTGATCATGATCATCAATAATACCAGTTTAAATTTACTCTCTGCCTCACAGTCTGTAAAAACATTTCACACAGACATGCAGTCTCATTAGATTCTCACCACACAGCACAGTGGGCAAGGCATCCTTCTTTCAGAGGTCAATAAACTAAGGCCCAGACAGATTAAGAGATTTAGATGAAATCACACAGCAGGAATCAAGATACCAAGTATCAGGACTGCAGCTCTCCATTTACTATATATTTTTGCCTCTCTTCTAGTCCCACCTACAGCAATTGGCAGTTCTGTCTGTTCCACTGTCCTTGATAAATATGAATATGATGGCTTCTATTGAAACAAAGAGAGAAAACCCAGTATTTATTGATTTCAAATAGGATATGGTATTCCTGGGGAGTAGTATAGCATCACTGTTAAAAACAGGAACTGAAGCTGACTATGGGTCAAATCAGGTCGGCCTTTTACTAGTTAGCTAAGTGACTACACAATCCACCTGACTTCTTTGTGTTAGAGTTTCCTTGGCTGTAAAATTGTATTTACCAAGGTAATGTAACTAAAGGACCTGGAACAGTGATGGTAAACCTTTTAGAACTTTCAATGATAACAAATAGCCTGCTGTGGTGTGCCTGCCATAGGTTCACCAGCACTGACCTAGAAGGTGGCCTGCCATATATAAAGTATAGTTAAGCACCATCAATTATTATTGTCATTTGGAGGAATATCAGCAAGGTCTATGTCAGCTTCCCATATAGTTTGGAATAGGAAAACCTGAAAGGGCCATTATGCACCCAAAGTATCACCCATTACAGTTTAGAAAGAAGTACAGCATTTCAAATATGGCTCTTTAAGTGACTGATTTCTTGAACAGCTGTTCTTTAGCGTTTGCGTAACAGGGCTATGAAACCAAACTCCAAGGTATAGCAGAGTTCTTCAGTTAAATATCACTTTTTTGGTAGCCTGTGGAGGGTTCTCTTCTGTATTTATTAAAAGTATTGTGCTGGTGGACTGTGTAGAAATATTTCTGGAGCACATAGACATTCATACTGGAATTTAATTAGTTCTGTTCATCTGCTAATCAAACATGCATTTGGCATTTGGAAAACAAATTAGTACTGTTCCACACTAGGTGATGCAAGATTTCCTTGGAGAATCTGGTCTTCATAATCCTTTAATTCAAACCTGTAGCAATCAAAATTCTGGCTGCAAAACAGACTTGTGCAAGAAAATGTGGATGCTTCCAAATGTGGACTTCCTTCCCCTTTCCAAATATAGAGTTCCAAAGTGCTGGATGCCAATGCTGGCTATAGGCTGAAAGCATGTCTAAAGAAACCCATGAGACTAGATCATGAGCCACCTTATGCACATTTATGTGCTTCCAATAAGGGTGGCAGACTGCTCCAGAGATCTAGAGATGCCAGACACCACAGGTCTTCTTGCAGGTATGTTCTGAAAATGCTAATGTTCTTATCTTTCAAGCAGGCTCAGATCTTTTTAATAGGCCATGGCTTGCATCGCAAATGTTTTCATCAGCCAGTGTAAAATAAATCCATTAGTCATAATATCCTTTGTGTGAAAATGATATTTAGAGCTCATTAAAAAGTAATTGTAGCCATTTTCCCCTACTTTATCAGCAGGACTCAGCTGGTGATTTGATGATCCGAAACATCCAACTGAAGCATGCTGGGAAATACGTCTGTATGGTCCAAACAAGTGTGGACAGACTATCTGCTGCTGCAGACCTGATCGTAAGAGGTATTGGAATTTTTTCTTTGTCCTTAAAATAGTTTTTGTGCTATCTACTCTAGCACAGAGCTCTAAAACTTTGGTGGTTTAGAATTCTGAAAAAAAGTCAGTCATGAGATAGATATCACAAATGGTGGTTAACAGCCCACACAAGCGTCGTGTACAAGTACTTCTCATTGGAATTGATAGAATCTCCTAGGATAGCTTTAGATGAACAAAAGCAGAAAATTTAAAAAGAGATGTGGCAGTGCCCTTTTGTGTTTTAGCTGGACTAACTCACATTTATGTTTTAGGTTAATGGTTTAACAGTGGCATAAATCAACTCATCATCAGGTTTTTCCCAGTTTCATTTTTATCCCTGAGGTTAATAGGGCTGTCCAGGTTGTACAAGTGTGGCTTTGGAGGGAAACACTTCTGTACTGTCTGAGATGCAGTAAATAGTGCTGGGAGTGAGGTAGAAAGTAGTTTTAATGAGGCTCTCTGGAGTCCACATTGCCAACATAACCTAATGCGTGCCTAAAAGCATGACCAACCCAGCTGAGCCACCCCGACTGAGACCTCCCCAGCCTCATCAAGCCAATTTGTAGTGAAACTGTAAGTGGACCTTTAAGAAATATTTTTAACTGAAAATCAAAATGCTAGCAAACCATTACATGTATCAAAATTTAACCTATGCTTGCTTAGGTGTTTGCAAAGTATTAGAAATAAGGCTGAGCTTAGGGTATCACTCAGTGTTAAAGTACTTGGCTAGGATACACAGGTCTTGGATTTAAGTCACAGTACTATAAAAAAAATTTAATGCAAAATAAAAATGAAGCTAACCTACACTATCAAAATAACCTTTTAGCTCATGCTTCCTTAGTCAGAATCCCTAACTGTTGGTGTTGAGGTGTCTTTGGCCTGCTGGCTGAGCCCATGGCAAACTTTCACTGCAAGAAAATGAAAATCCAGGGTATCAGAACTGGAGGCAGGGTAAGGCTGAGTGCATAGGAAATGAAGTATTTTCAGAAGCAACAAAAAGTGGTGCTACATGCTGCAGGCAGTGTGCAAGAGGGAAAAATGTGTAATAGCAACTGAAATTAATTATCAAGAGAGGTTAAAGAAAAATAACATTTATGTCATGTATATTTTCATTATCTTTAAATTCCTTTAAAAACTTTCATCCACGGTGTACATAAGGATGAGTTATAAAAAAAAAAAAAAAACCTTTCAACTGAGGTATATCTACACACAGAATAACTTAAAGAACTGTATTTCTGTTTTAAAAATACACCACAGCTAGTCTGCTCTTCCCTGGAGAACAAAAGAATTCTGTTACTGGAAATGTATCCTTTATTTAATTAGGGTAATGTTCAGATCAGCAGTTTAAACACCAATAAATTAGACTAATAAATATTTAAAGCAGTAATACTTGAAGTTCTTAAATGATATTGTATACTTCATTTCACAGAAAATAATATCAAATACCAAAATGAATTTGCAAATTCAGTCTAAAAGAAAATCTAGTCTAATCAGTTAATAAGGCCAATAAATTAATATGCCATTTAAAACTATAATCTTCTGTTTTATTGCCTACTGCTTTGCCCTTGCAGCTTTTCTGAACATTACAGAGGGGAAGCAGAAATCTATTTCACTGCCCTGTGAGAGGTTCATGTGTTTGAAACTGATTCTGGCCCCTTAACTTCTCTGATGCCTGCCTTATTGAATCTGCCGCTCTCTAAGGGCAGCTGGAAAGACCACTCTTCCCTGAGCAAGGAGTGGATGCTGGCGTCAAACCTGTGCTGTTGCTTGTGATAAAAACCTCTGCGGACGCCTGACCATGTTATCATTTTGCTCAGAGAACAAGAATTTGCACATTTGGTCATTTTGAAAGAGGGACCCAACTTCTCTAAAATAGTTAGTAAACATTCTCTAAGGTCATAGCTACCCATTGGTGGGGGGAGGTGGCAGATAGACAAAGAAGAATAAAGAAAGTCATGAAAATACCATCTTCTCTCCGAAGCCCCAGTTCACACCACCCGTTTGTTTCCTTCTTACACAGTTGCCAACAGTGGGCTCCGAGCCTTCCTATTGGCTGAATTCTTTGACGAGTTCAGAGTGAACACTTTTCTATTTGCAGTGCTTATATTCTAAAGGCCATCAAAGCAGCACACATAAAGAGAAAAGGATGGAAAGGCTAGGATGAGAAACCTGGTCAGGAAAAAAAAAAAAAAAAGAGAATATTATCTTCTGGACTTCACCTAGTTAATAAGAATCCTGAAGACCAAAGATCACCTCAGCATTTCTAGGTGGTATTGGACTGACATGCCGAAATGTCACCATGGAAAATTAATCAGCTCCAGATACAGATTTCCAGACATTTCGTTCAAGAGTGAGAGGGGGAAGATAAATTTAGTCTCACCTGGGACCTATAAAAATAATTTGAAAAGAGAAAAGAGAATGTAGGGCATCACTTCAAGGGTGAAGGAGTAAATCCCAGAACAAAGCCTTACTTTGGGAAATTGCCATTAACTTCACAGCAGTCCATGAGAGATCACCTTCCACCCTGCCCGTGCCTGTGACATGGCGCACTACTATTTGGAAGTATATTGGATTACTATTCCTCCTAGGAATATCTCCTTGTGCTATGTAATGGGCATGAGGTCACTATCATATGCCCTTCATGAGCACCTTCTCTTCCCTAAGTTGATGTGCCTTGTTCAAAGTCATTCAACTACCTGGCCAGAGATTTTTACATTAGGAACTGGGATAATTTGGGTGTTTGCTCTGGCCCTGTTGCTATTTTGCCTTTGCCTGCTAGTTGCTTTCTATCCCTCTATTTCTTCATGATTTCAAGTCTTCATTTAAGACTGATTTCCTCCCCTTTCGATGATTTAAGTACATGGGCAGAAACAATGAACATCAGAACTTCAGAAAGATAAAGTGGAAAAATACAGAAGTGTACAAAGTGGAAAAATGCAGAAACTGTAAATGAGGATCTTTAGACTCCAGCCAATTTTTAAATTGCTTTGAAGAAAGCGAGTCTCATGTCTCTTGAGCACTGGTCATTTTCACAGCAGTTCCTTGCACACCAGTGTGTGCTCCTACTGGATGTGGAGAGGTGTGGGGGTGTTAGTAATTGCAGTGTAGCAGAATGTGCAGAGCAATACCGTGACCCCCAACACCTTACATCTATTTCTGCTCCAGTTCACTTCCCCAGGAGTTGAAATAACCATTTCCAGCAGACTTTAATCTTCATGAAATGAGGAGCAATATCTATCATTTAACAGTACTGTAGCACCATATAACTCTACTGGACCCATAGCAGGAACCCAAAGTAATGCTGAATGGAGAAATGAATTTGAGCCCTTATTATGCCCCAATATTCTCTCTTAACGTCAAAACAAATATTCTACTGTAATCATTCATTTACCTTTTTTTCTATTATTCCATAAGACCCAGGAAGGAAGGGGAATGTCTCATTGCTCTCCGTAGTTTCAGACCCTTGCAGAGTTCTGGCATGTGGACATATTCAAAAAGAATCTGACAGGGGGCTGGGGATTTAGCTCAGCGGCAAAAAGCACCTGCCTGGCAAGCGCAAGGTCATGAGTTCGGTTCCCGGTACCGGAGAAAAACCAAAAAAAAAAAAAAAACAAACAAACAAACAAAAAGAATCTGACAAATGATAAATCTGTGAGGGGATGAATAAATGATAGAGTGTGGCAATACCCCATTTAAGTGAGTGGTCATTTCCTTGGACATTTGAGCGTACTGGTCCAATTCTGAGGGTCTTGTTCTTTCCTAGGTCCCCCAGGACCTCCAGAGGCTGTTACCATTGATGAGATCACAGATACCACTGCTCAGCTTTCCTGGAGACCTGGGCCTGACAACCATAGCCCCATAACCATGTATGTCATCCAAGCCAGGACTCCATTCTCCGTGGGCTGGCAGGCCGTCAGTACAGGTACCATATTGGATGCTTGGTTCTGGTGTCTCAGGAACTTCTGGAACTTAGCATAATGGACAGTGACATGCGGCAGAAGTCGAGGAACATCTAGGTGAACACAGCTATGACTGATATAACACAGCTATAACTTTGTGCCTATGTCTCCCAGAATCAGCCAATTGTACCATCATATATTTAATATTTTCCCTCACACAGACTCTGTTTGTTTTATTCATTCTAAGCAATAGTATCTGAAATGATGGGTCAGTTGCATTGTGTTTTTTTCTTAACATATTTAAAACTATTTATGAAAAGAAAATGCATCAATCTGTGGGTTACCTAAAACCATTTGTGTACCACTGTGATACACCTTGTGAAGCAGTGGATTATGCCCGCCTATAATCACTGGCTTTGTAAAGTTTATATGCAACTCTCCAGAAAGCAATCTCTAAGAACTATAGGGAGTCTTCTGACTTGCTGCACCTTTTTTGGGATGGATAAATTTGAGGATGAAGAGGTGTGATTTTTTAAATCAATTTTACAGTTTCTATTGTGTTTTTAAATCGTCATTGTCAGCCCCAGCAATGTTTTCATTTTTATTCTTTCATTTATTATATTTATGATGTACTTCCTATTTTTTGAAAGCTTCATAATCATGCATATTTTGGGTCTTTAAAAATTATTATGCCAACTCTACCTCAGCTAATACTCATTTTTAAATTTAGATTTCATTTCAGGAAAAAAAAATTAGAAGAACCAGTATTTCCTACTAGCAAGATACATATTCCTCTAGTCCCCAAAGGCTGGCTATGTGGCTTTGATGTTTTGAAGTAGAAGCAAATGAGGTGGTAGAGCTAATTTTATGCAATTTGTTTAAATCATATTGATATTAACAATCCCAATTTTTTCCTTTTCCCTTATTGAAACTCAGAAATGTGTTTCTATGTTTCCTGCTGTAATCACTGACTTTTTTGCTGAGTCATAAGAGTTTCTTAGAACAAAGACTAGAAAAATCTGGAAGACAGCAATAAATTCTCGTGCTGACGGTCCTACAGCAGTCAGAAGATCTCTGTACATCTTCATTTTCCTTTCCTGCTAAATGGGCACAATAAAAATTGCTTTAGAGTGAATATACTCATTTTACCTTACTCATATGATAGTTCTAAGAATTACAAGTACACATGACACTGCAGTGCATGTAGGAAAACATGTTTGGTGATAATAATAATGTTTACAGTCAAGCTTTGAGGCTGGAAGACTGTGTCATTTGTGATTTCATCTGCTGGTATCTGACTTGAGGTTTATAGTGCAACCTATGAAGTTCTGAAATTACCTCACTGTACCAGCAGCTTGTATAGCTACTGTTGGACCACTTACAATCCCCTGAATAAGACAGTGATGAGGATGAGGACGAGGAGATGATGGATGGGTGGATGGTGGATGGATGGATGGATGAAGTACCTTCCTGTGTTTCTAACACAGTCTCTGTATTTGCTTTCTGGGGATCCAGTGAAACATTCTTACCTTTTTATGTTTTTCAGTCCCAGAACTCATTGATGGAAAGACATTCACCGCAACAGTGGTGGGTTTGAACCCTTGGGTTGAATATGAATTCCGCACTGTTGCAGCCAACGTGATTGGCATTGGGGAGCCCAGCCGGCCCTCAGAGAAACGGAGGACAGAAGAGGCCCGTGAGTAACTTCGGGATACACATGGTCTGTTCCACCAGCTCCTATTCCTTGGGAGGCGGTTTCCAATGCTCCCTGCTTTTTAGCCCTGAGAAGGCTCTCTAGTAGCACATCCTTCCCTTTAAATGTTTATAATGATGACAAATCAAGCTGTTAAAAGCTCAGATTAGCAGACACTAAATTTCAGTCCAGAGTTTAGTCCTGCTCACTATGGTTATTTGTACAACAAAAGACACTGTGCTTTGTTCTCTCAAAAGTCAACTCTGTCTACACTGGTTTATGTGCCTCTAACTCCTATAACAGAACTATTAAACACGCATGCATGCACACACACACACTTCAGATGAAATCATCTCACAGAAATCACTAATGGCAGAGAATTACTTCTTCAGATATATGCACAATGATTTTCTTAAGGTATAAACCATTCTCAAAAGCTAGGATTTGGAGCATAAAATGAGTACAGGGAGAGAGTAACCACATTCATCTAGGCCAAATTTCTCTTGAGTAAGGTGGGAGGCCTACCTCTGTGATGCGTGTAGAGGTCGCAGCACCGGTGAGACCAAATGTTTTTTGAAGGACTAACAAATTCCCTAAGCAAATGAGAAATCTGACTCTACTCTCAGGAAAAGAAAAAGAAAAAGTCCATCATTGGCTTTAACTAAGGAGACGTGCCCACTTGCCAGGTATATGTGCTAGCCAGACAACTTACAATTCTGCCTGAAGTCTTTGGGTCACATGATAATAGCATCACTTTCTTGTCCCCCTCCAAAACTATAATTTATTTAATTCCATTCATCCATCCTGAGGAGGAAGCAAGCCTGATTTCCTCCTCTCTTACAGAGAATACTGGGGATCACAGAGGTTAAACACAGTGAGCCAGGGGTCAACCTATATCCATCACTTGCTTCAACACCCAGCTCAAAACTCACCTTCTTCTGAGAAGCCATTAGTCCAACCCTCCTCCTCCGAGCAGCCTGATACTCCAGAACTGCGCTGAGCCTCTCCATTCTGTCTGTACCACAGTCGTGTGTTGTCAGCATTTCTCCCTGATCAGTCTGCTTGTGCTCTTGCCCTCCAACTAGATTGTAAGCTCTGCATGGGCACAGTTTGTCCTGTCTTTCCTTTGTGTACCACCACATGGTTAATAAATGTCTAACCAAGCTTGAGGATCAGCACTTTAGTCCTTTCCTCCCCTCTGGAACTCACTGTCTGTAGGGATGGAGCCGAACATCTGGTCAGACGTGCCAGAGAGTGTGTGTGTGCCTTGTTGCATAGGAAACAGGTAATTAATAGCAATTTCCTTGGTACATTTTACCTCCTCCAGCACATGTGGTGGGCTCTGTAACCATGCTGTTTCTGATCTCCAAATTCAAAGGTGTACGTGTCTGAATATCTGCTGACAGTGCGTCGCCTCAGCCACACAGTTTTACTGGCCCCCATGTGGCATTGCCCCCTGATATAACTTGTCTTTTGTCTCCTGCACAGTCCCTGAAGTCACCCCAGCTAACGTCAGTGGTGGTGGAGGCAGCAAATCTGAACTGGTTATAACCTGGGAGGTAAATGAATCACACAACAAAAGGAAGATGCATTTGTCTAGACTACTTTATTATTTTCCTCTGTGTTAAACATGGCCAGGAAGTCACCTCCTCTGTTTTTAGCAGCTAAAATCCATTTGAGCCCAAGCACTTCCTGTCTCATCGCTAATGGTTAGTGGGAAATGAAGGTGTTTGCCCATCAATTTTCAAGGCAAGTTTTAATTTTATTCATCACAGGAGTAACAATCATGAAAGGGAAGACAACACAAATAAATAAAAAGAAATAAAATAAAGATGGCTGGTTCAGAGAAAACCAGTTTTTCTTTTCTTTCTGAATTGCTGCATGGCCAGTGGATTTAAAACATCTGCCAGCAGTTGATTCAGTGTACCAGCACAATTCCTGGCAGCTGGCTTTGCTGTTAGATTATGAGGTTGTTTTTTTTTTTTTAAGAATCCAGAGGAAGGTTAGTCACCAATTTATTAAAAACTTGATTTCGAGAGAGGGCATGGGAACTTCAGAAAGGGTCCTTTATGTTTTTGAAAGATTCTAGACAGTGGCCCCAGAAATTAAAACCATATGTTCACCCAGAGCCCCAGCCGCTAAAGAAATCCCTCGCCCCTCTCCTCCTGAGCTCTTCCTTTCTGAGAGGAAAGCTGTTGCCTGGGCCAAGATGTTCTTCATTCTCTCAGTGAGATCTCTTCTCCATTTGGCAGTGACAGACGTTAGTGTTAGATGCTGCACTAGATGTTGGAAGTGTTGGTTTTTAAATCCACTGTCGAGTGTCTCTCACAGAGTTGGATCTGCCCTAACAGAGCCAAGCTCTCCACTGTAGATTTTCATTAAAGTTTTTAAATGAAAGTCCAATACTTCATGAATATCTAAAGTAGACTGACGGCCAAACCTAAATTTAAGAGATGCTTGGCAACTTCCAAAATAACATTGGGGATATAGACAAAATGCCTTGAAGCGGGTAAAGTTTTAGCATTTGCATCAAACACATGTGATTTCTGAGAACCACGTCCCTTCTTTCCCAGACGGTCCCTGAAGAATTACAGAATGGTAGGGGCTTTGGTTACGTGGTAGCCTTCCGACCGTATGGCAAAATGATATGGATGTTGACAGTGCTGGCCTCAGCCGACGCCTCCAGATATGTGTTCAGAAATGAGAGCGTGCGCCCCTTTTCTCCCTTTGAGGTTAAAGTCGGCGTCTTCAACAACAAAGGAGAAGGCCCTTTCAGTCCCACCACAGTGGTGTATTCTGCTGAAGAAGGTATGGTTTATGCTACCAGATAACTGACATTTCTCACATTATCAAATGGTATACCTTTTATGGTTTACAATCAATTTTGAAGGGGGGGTATATATTCAGTGTAGGGTATACAATTAAATGGAAGGCATACACCAAATGTGAGAAAAGCATAATTTAAAATGAGGTTGGTTCCTTATCTATTGTCCAACTCTTAAATATGGCGCTTTAAAAATGCATGGCACCCATTATTGATTTCGTTGCTAGGGACCTGAGTGTGGTAGATATAAGATCTTCATAGCTCTTTTATTACGTTAAGATTTATCTTTTATCCCTGTAAGTGAATATCAAAATAGAAAGTTCCATTCCCCTTTACCACTTGTAGTTCTAAATATCATACTGTACTTAGAATTTATTCTTGTATATTAGAGAAAAGTATAAACATGAAGCAGTGTGATTTCCTCCTTGTCATTTCTTCTGTCCTAATGTTGAAGGGCTTTGGCACATTATTACCACTTGTGTGCTATCCCTGCTGTCAGGATGCCTCTCATACAGACCTCATTAACCTTGCTGTGTGTTATTTTAAAGATGATGCTCAGAATGAGACAACACTAAAATATCTTAAGGTTGAGGCATTAGTTTGGAGTCAGGGAAGATGCAATAAATTCTTTTCCACCAACAGAGAAATGACCCTTTAGATTCAGCAGTCCTCCATGACATCTCTGCTGCTTCTCTGTATGCTTCCACACACACCATTCTTCCTTGCATACTCCACATTCCAGCCGTATCCGAAAGATTTGCAATTATCAAAACAAAATCTTCAGCCCCTTTACACAAGCCTCATTTTCTCTATTCCCTGTCTTGCTCTTGTGCAAATTCCTGCCCCTCTTTTCTACCTGGAATTGAAAAACCAGGCCTTCTGTGAAACCCCTTGCCAGGTGGGTGCAGTACGTGCTTCTCTTTCTCTTGGTTTATTTTGTATCATTTACAGTGATAGTATGTATAGTAGTTTTACATTCCTCTATTAAAAGTCTCATCCTAGTATATTATAAATTTTGAACATCAGTTGTATATTCTCTCTGATGGATTTTCTGAAGAGGAGTCATTTGTTTTTCACCTATGAGTCACCAGGGTCTAGCAACATTTAATAAATGCTGGATTAAAATATAAATAGAATTTTATAGTGTTAAAGTGGATAGAGGTCTGCTTGTCCGACATTTCTTGGAATGTGATGTGCATTCCCGGGCAAGTGAAGACACTTACTATAAATGATATCAGGTAAACCTTTAAAAATATGGAATAATATAAATCCAATAAGACATATATAAAATTGGGTAAAATATATAACTACCCATTCAAATGCAATATTTCATGAGTGTTATTTCTTACAACATGGCTAAACTAGATTTTTTTTTTTAAGAAAGATCATCCAAAGGAAAATCTTATGTACACATAGTACATAGATCAGCAGAAATCTGGTAAAAATAACTGAAAATTGGGAAACAACCAAGTCAGCCTATCTTTTGCAACTGGGAATGCTGAAACCCAGAGCATGCAAATGAGTTGCCCAAGATAATAGACCTTACGGCATACAACTAGAATGCCACCCAGGACTCTTGAGTCATAGTCAAGTCAGTTGACTGTCCTTTTTCCTCTTCTCTCTCATTTTCATGATCCAGTGACTAGAACTATTGCCTGTGTTGAATACTAATTAAGAAAGAGCTATGTTGAGGGAATTGCTGGCTTTGAAGATTTGGTGCTTAAATTTAAATAGCCTTGGACTACTTCAATGTCATGTGCCCCCAAATTTAGAATCTAAAGATTTTGAAGAAGTTCCTGACTTCCACTGCCAACCAAATGTTAATCATTGCTCCTCTGCAAAATGAGGATTTGCCTCAGAATCATTTAGGATGATTCCATAACCACGGGTTCAATGCCCTTTATAGTGCTGTATCTAGATGCCCATCTTGATCAGCTAATAGGGAAATAACTTTTTCCTTATTCATCTGCAGAACCCAATAAACCACCAGCCAGCATCTTTGCCAGAAGTCTTTCTGCCACAGATATCGAAGTTTTCTGGGCCTCCCCCCTGGGGAAGAATAAAGGACGGATACAAGGTTATGAGGTAAGCAAGAGATATGTGCCTCGGGTCCATGCCCTCACTCACTTGTGAGTCTTGTGTTAAACTCCAGTGGTATCTTTCAAATTATTCACAATTATGAGCATTTAGAAGAAGGTTAGAAACATGAGCTTACGTTTAATATATCCAGTCCTAAAATAAAAATGGAAGAAAAGGGAGAAATAACCAACAAATGTTGCGCTGATTCACCATCTTATGAAGAAGCCAAGAACAGAAGAATGGCCTTTCCTACTCTGAATAGTTTCTCTGGACATGCAAACCTCTTTCCTCTGAAAGCTCTGCTCATGGATTGATGAAGAAAATTAACTCTTTTACAAGAACATGCATAAAAATTTATTACCTGGTGACAGTTGGAAATATTCCCAATGTGTGTGACTTCCAGGGTCTTTCTTCTTATTTTCTCAGGTTAAATATTGGAGACATGATGACAAGGAAGAAAACGCTAGAAAAATACGAACAGTCGGAAATCAGACATCAACAAAAATCACCAATTTACAAGGCAGTGAACTGTATCACTTAGCAGTCAAGGCATATAATTCTGCTGGGACAGGCCCCTCTAGTGCGACGGTCAATGTGACAACTAGAAAGCCACGTAAGAACAAACTCACTTAGAAATATTTGGCGGACTCATCAAATATATCCCAAGTTCATTCCCCATCCCCACCTCCCAATGGTCATTTGCATACTAATTGGTGTCATTATGTGGATTCAAATTCACCTTAACATTTTAACTGAACCTTTCAGAATACCATGCCAAATTCATTGCTCTGGAGAGCAGAAAGATAAATGTTTTTCCCCTCACTGGGAAAGGCTACTTCTTTTAGCTATAAATGTTAGGCGACCAACTGAATCTTTTTCCATTTGCAGTGCTGTATCTTGTCAGATTTCAGTGACCTTGAAGACACATATTAGTGCAATAGCCCATTAAATTGCTTCCACTCTCAAATTCTAGTAAGGAGATATTCCTCAGAATCCATTGAGATTTAATAATCTGTGACTTTGTATATCTTAATTTTTTTATAGCACCAAGCCAGCCCCCTGGAAACATCATATGGAATTCATCCGACTCCAAAATTATCCTGAATTGGGATCAAGTGAAGGCCCTGGATAATGAGTCAGAAGTAAAAGGATACAAAGTGGGTAATTTCTTTTTGCAAAGGCACTTAATCTCACTGTTAGTGGGGTCAGCTCCCTCACACGCATCGTATGACCCATGTTCTCACTTCTCCTGATGATGCTCTCCCACCTCTTTAGAAATCTCTGCCCCAAGTGATTGGATTTAAATTATTTAAATGCTCCATGATATCTGGCCAGAATTTAGATAGTCACCTGTGGTAGTCAGCTTTCCATTACTATGACAAATTCCTGAAATTATCAGCTCACAGAAAGAAAACATTTGGCTCACAGTTTTGGAGGTTTCAGTCCATGATTAATTGGCCATCTTGCTCTGGGCCTGTGGCAAGACATCATGGTGAGGGTTATGTGGAGCAGCAAGCTACTGATGTTAAGGAAACTGAGAAGCAAAGAGATAAAGTGACCAGAGTTCCATAATCCCCTGTGAGGATGTGCCTGCAGTAACCTCTAACCTCTCCTTAAGCTCTACCTCTTCAAGATTCTACCACTTCCAACAGCAACACAGGCTAGGAAGGAACTAAGGTGTGATGCTTAGGCCTCTGGGGAACATTTGTCTAAGCCATAGCATCGCCTAAACTTCAGGCTTAAGCATTGTCAGTGAAAAACGTTAAGGATCCTATGCTTGGAGTGTCCAAAAGATACTGTAGAACTTTTTAAGCATTTCTTTTGTCAGTTTGGCTTTGTTCTTCTGCAGTTGTACTTTTATACTCAACAGTAGTAACCTCCCAGTGTTATTAATGGCTAAGCATTTCTGCCTGTATATTCTTATAGCCAGAAAGCTTTCTATACTATATATAGAAAAAGAAACAAGATTTTTTAAAGAAAATTTGTTTGCTTAATCTTATGTAAATTCTGGCCTTTCTTTAAACAGAAAATGAAAATAAAATGTATGTGTTCTTATTGACACACTGAAAGAAGTTTGAAATATGTTGGCCAGGTTTTAGCTTCCTATTGGCACCTAACAAATGGACTAACATAGAACAGTGCAACATTTTCGTGATTCTGCTATGTGGACTAAGCTAAAATGGGCAGTGTCTAGGGCTGGGTTGGCTAAGATGTTTCTCTATTTACTTCTGGCTTCCCTTGAAATGTTTAGAAAAACTGGAGGCTGACTCACTAAGGATCATGCTCCCCATGCACCCTTTTCACATCAATTATTGGGAATCCTCACAGCGTGGTAATCTCAAGGTAGTTGAACCTGTGACGTGGTTTCTGGCTTTGATGGGAGAGAAAGCAGAAGCTTCCAGTCCTCTTCGAAGTAACAATGAGCCAGCCACGTTGGTCACCTGTGATCTCAACATTCTGGGAGGCTGAGGCAGGCAAGAGGTTTGTAAGTTTGATCCCGGCCTGGGCTACTTAGTGGCTTAGAATGACCCTGTCTCAAAATGAAAGAAAAAAAGAAAGAAAGGAAGGAAAGCAGATTGAGGATGTTGCTCAATGTGAAGGCCCTGGGTTCAGTCTCAGTATCACAAAGAAGAAGGAGATGGAGAAGGAGGAAGAAGAGGAAGAGGAAGAACAAGAAGGAGGAGGAGGGGGAGAAGCAGCTAAAAATGAAACTAGCTACTGTGAGGCCAGCTTAAATTTAAAGGGAGGGGAAATGGGTCCCTTTCCCCAAGGATGTGAGGAGTGGGATGGCGTGCATGGAGGAAAGGGCTGATGATGCCCTATTTGTAAACCAGGGCAGGTGTGGAGACGACTATGATCAGGACTCTGACGCAAATCATCTGAGAGACACGATTGTAGGCACTTGGGATAACTACCTGGATGAAAGTAAAAAGCCTCAGAAATGTGATACTGACTTCAAATATCTGAAGTCCTATTTTAAGGGATGACAGGTACAATTGGTCCTCAAGTTTCCTACAAGTAAAACTATGATCAATTAGGGAAAGCTACACAGTGACAAATTTTGGCTCAGTTTTACATTTCGGTAGCCAATGTGGTTTTTTTAAAAATGGGCTTAGTTTGAAGAAGAAGGATGGGTTCTCCATCACTGGAAATAATCAAGCATTAACTACATCAACACCTAGGGAGATGTGAGGAAAAGAAATGTAGTGTAGGTATCTAAATTACATGTAATTTTGTTTCCTTTCTAGTTCTGGAATGTTATAAGTAAATGCCTTTTTAAAAAAGCTTTTAATACACCATAATTATTTGGGTTGACAGTGTTCTTGACCTCCATTGGTTTTATATTAACCCGCTGAAAGAAAAGCTGGTTTCTCTTGCAATTTTGCAAGTTGCCTTAAATATATTCTCCAATGGTTTTTATTATAAAAGGGAAATTATGAAATCAAACCTATGATTTTGAAAGTTTTCAAGTCTGAGAGCTTGGAAGTCAAATTTTCAGGAGTCTTGAAAAGTGGTCTTTCATCTTTCACAAAATAAATGAACGATTTCAAAGACACGCCCAGTAACAGCATGAATAGCAGCAATAGGCTGGCTGGAAGCTACAGGCAACCAGAGAATGTGTGCTGCTGTCAAAGTGCCCCAGCTGCTGGTGTGAAGGAAACTGAGAAGCAAAGAGAGAGAGAGACCAGAGTTCCATCATCCGCTATGAGGATGTGCCTACAGTGACCTCTGACCTCTCCTTAAGCCCTACCTCTTCGAGATTCTACCACTTCCAGCAGCAACACAAGCTAGGAACTTCCTGCTTCTGTTGCCTTGTGAAAACGCTTCCTTGTGAAACGCTTCCCGTCTCTGTTACCTTGTGAAAAAGTGGGCACAATGTCCCAGATACCCCAGTGTTTCAAAAGATGGCAGGGAAAATGGATTCTCTTCCAATTTTAAAATATTGACAATTCCTATAATTTTGTTTTGCTTTGCTTTTAAGCTACAGTTGAGGCAGTACAAGCCAAATAAAGCTGGGGTGCCATCTGAATCAAACCCACAGGAGGCTGATTTGTGACATTTCTATACAGAGATATTGAGGAAAGCAGATAGCCAGTGCTGAGAGGCACTGGTGTAAGGACATGGGATTATTGTAAAGTAGTAGATAAAGGCAGAGTTAGACTTCAGAGTTGACATAGTAGGCATTAGGGCCTTGAATAATGGAACTAGAGTAGTACTCAGAAGACCATGCCTGGCAGGGGCTATTTTTCCTTTATCTACATGGGGCATGGTGCATCAGTAGGGAACATTACCTTATAGGTAATGTGCAGACTTTCACTGAATCCTTTTAGAAAAGCAAACTCTGAGGGATAGGGTGGGACTCACTGGTAAAATATATGCCTAACATGCAGGAAGTCTTGGGTTCAATCCTCAGTGTGCCCCCTCTTAAAAAGAACAGTCTCTTCTGTGAGGATTTCATAACAGCATAAAAAAATAGGAAATGCATAATTTGGTTCTCTGTTGGCTATACCACTTTGAATAAATTGCTCAAACTTTAAGGAGTGCTCCTTAAACTCCTTTACATTCATCTGGGCCCCTATGATAAAGGTCCGAGTTTAGGAGTCCAGGGTCTTCACCAGCACCTCCGGGCTGTCGGCTCCTCCCTAGCGGCACTGGGGCTATCACTGGGCTCCATGTGAGTAAGAGCTCCATGTAAGAGCTCCACTCTTACTTTTTTATTAAGAGAGAAATTTCTAGTCATCATTTTTCTCATTGCATATCTATGTCTTCTTCCTGAGACTCCTGCCCCATATGTCCTTAACCAGTGATACACATTTTGTACCTCTGAGTTTAGAACCCTTCCCTCATGGCCAGAGTCCTATTTTGCAAAAAATTTTAAAGCACTTTCCATCTTCTTGGATAATTGTAATCAGCAGAAAACTTGTGAATCTCCAGACTGTGGGCTTCCACAGACCCATGCCTGAACTGTCACCATTATTTCTCCAACCAACCTTACATTCATTGTGGTCATATTGGAATGGAAATTTCTGCTGGACATGGTGGTGCATGCCCATAATTCTAGCATACTGGGTGGCTGAGCAAGAGGACTGCAAGTTCAAGCCCTGCCAAGGAAACTTAGCAACTAGCAAAAGCTTGGCTTGAAATAAAAAAGAGGGCTAGAGACTGAGCTCACTGTAAAGGCCCTATGTTTGATCCTCAGTGTATACAAAAAGAAAAAGAAAGAGAGAAAGAGAGACAGAGAGCGAGAGAGGGAGAGAGGGAGAGAGAAATCATTTCCTAAATTCCTCTTAGTGAAAAATAATATAAAAGCATTTAAAGCATTTATATGATCAGTTTTATGTATAACCAAAAGAGACATGGTGTTATGTAGGTCATAGGATATGAGGAAAGAATAGATAAGAAAAGAAATAAAGAAAGTAAGAATGAAGGCATACCTTTGCGACATTGGGTCTGACCAGGCTCACTTTCCTTTTATCACTTTGAATTTCATCACAGCAAACAAAAGCAAATGTGACGTGGGCAGAACTGATTTAACCAAACCAAGGAAGAGAGCAAAAATAAACAGATCAATTCTGCCACCCAGCTATCAGTTATACCCCTTAGAACATGTAGAAAAGCACTGTAAAAATGCTAAAAGCTGTCAGAGTCTCCGGAGAGCACATAAGTTCCATGGATGAACTTTCAACTAGATTTCAAACTCATTCTCAAGCTGGTACTGAGATAAAATTGATGGACAGGGAGCTTCCTAGAGTATTTCAAGCAACTAGGCAAAATGGTAGCTTGCCTAGAGATCATCTAGTGAAACCTTTCATTTTACAGAAGTGAAAATGAATGCCTGTTGAGTCAAGTGACTTGGAGTGTCCTCAGGTCTCTCAGGGCTAAGATCAATATGCATGCTGAACTTTGCTCCAGTGAACTGGGCCTAAAAGATTATCAGCACTTTTAGAAGAAAAATTGGGTAACGATTATTATTTAGTTGGCACTTCTTGGTGCACCTGCTCCCTCTCAGAAATGCTCATACGAGCTTGTCTTTGTAACTCCTTTCCAGGAAGGCCCGTCTTGAATTTATTACTTCAATAAATACATTCGCAGCCACATAGGAGATTCATCTGAGTAGCATACAGCTTCACACAGGGGAGTAAAGCAGCACAAGACAAATATAACAGCATTTGACCTCCTGGAAAAGAACTGCTAGGGTTAATGTAGGATTTGGGCAAATACATTTTATTTCTACAAAAACATAAAATATAGGAGCAAGTGAAAACTAGGGAGCTTGGAAATGTTTCAGATCTAAATAGCAGACCAAATGCTATTGCCTGTGTAAGCCATGGATTTAGCTTTTTTTTCCCCCAAATGTTTTTTCATGTAAGCTCATTGTATCTTCTGGATATAGACTGTATCTAAGAAGAACACAGTGTTCCCTCCACAGTGGGAGGTTTGGGTCAAAGGAAGCATCATTGACAGGTGGGTATCAAGTGTGGGAAGCGCCATAGAAACAACATGGAGGGGCAGTGCAGGAGAGAGAGGGTAACAAGTTTGGACCAGACTGGAGAAAGGGACACCTGCTGAGTCGTTGATTTCCAGCTCAGTAACTCGTCTTCCTTTTAGGGATGGAACTGGAAGAGTCAGGCTCCCAGTGCATCAGATGGACGCCAAGGAACGTCAGTGTGACTGGCTGTATAGATCTGTAACTCATGCATGTGGATCCTGACTCCTTAAAAGTGGCTCTTGTTTATATCAAGCTTTTTACTTTCCCTTCTAAATACCAAAGGTGCTGGGTTATGGGTTTATTTTTTTCTTTTTCACTAAATTTTCTCCTTTCATGAGTTCTCTGCTTGGATAGGTAATCTTGATAAGAAGTTGCCTTTAGAATGCTGGAGGTCCAGAACAGCATCAGCACAACCTTCAAGCTACTTTATGACACGAGAGTTAAAATGAGAACATGTAGTCTTAGTGTCACAAAGTGTACTGCCAACAGAGCCAGGCAGGTGACGTAAATGTGTTACACTTAATAAATATTATAAACATCGGTACTAAGCACTATTCTGACTCACCTTCTATAGTAACTCATGAAATAGCCCATTAATGAAGCAATTTCTACATCTAGTGCATTTATTAAGCCTAATTTTATAGCTAAGGACTATGCCAGTGTCACACAGTTAGTATAGGAAAGGCCTGGGATCTGAACGCAGCAGTAGGGATCTAGTTCTGGCTTGTATCCACTAGGCTATTGTGCCTACCAGCAATAAATAAATACAACAGTGGTAATAAAGTGCTACAAGGAAAAATAAATCAGAGTGAGGGGAATGGAGAAAGCCATGGGGCAAATAGGAGAGACTTCTTATTTTATATAAATGTCAAGGAAAACCACTTTAGAGGTGTCACTTCAATTGGATCTTGAAAGGAAGGACAGAATGAGACACTCTGCTCAGGTGTTTCAAGCACCGCAAACAGGTGCCAGGGTCCTGAAGCGAGCAGCGCCAGGGCACAGATAGGAGGTGTCGGGGCTTTTGACAGACCTCAGACTTTGCGACTGTCCAGAATGGGCAGTGGTCCCTCAGTTCCAGTTGTTGCCAGACAAGAATGTAGTCGACTGGGCTGGGGATTTAGCTCAGCGGCAATGAGCCTGCCTGGTAAGCGCAAGGTCGTGAGTTCGGTTCCTGGTACCGGAGAAAAACCAAAAAAAAAAAAGAATGTAGTCGACTGTCTTTGTCTCACTGTCCCACTACAGGAGAAGACCTGAGACTAGGTAATTTATAGTGAGTCAAAATGTATTTCTCACAGTGCCAGAGGCTGGGAATTCCAATATCAAAGTGCCAGCATATAGCAACTGTCTTCCTGCTATGTCACCAAATGGCAGAAGTTGAGAGGGTGAGATCCCGCTAAAGGGGCCACTGTTAGACCAGCACCAGTCCCACCTGTGAGGGTAGAGACCTCGTGGCCTAATCACCCTGCAAAGGTTCCACCTTTTAACATTGATACAATGGCAATTAAACTGCAACAGGAGTTTTGGAAGGTATGAACATTCAACCCAGAACAATTAGTGTGGCAAGATCTTCCGGCTTTTCTGTAGAACTCAAAAATTTTTTCATGCATAATTTCTCAGTTTATAAATATTGATGTCTAACTCAGAAAAAGATTAAAACTATGAGTGCCAAACAAATAATTCATGCAGGCTGGATGTGAGTCGGGTGTGCCACCCCTTTTCTACGCTCGAACACTCTTGCTTTGTGTTCATGAAAACAGACAAAAGAGAGAGAGCAGTTTGTTCACAGTCACAGAGGCGGTAGCCAAACTCGTGTTGGTTGAGAATCCAGATCTGGGCGGCAGACTGCTTGCATTTAAATCCAGGGTCCGTCGCCCATTGGTCTTTGGAGTTTGGGCAAATCTTTAATATGTCCAGGACTCAGGTTCTTATCTTTGAAATCAGAATAATAGCAGTGCTCACCTCAAGAGATAATCTACATAACCATCTAAAGCAGAGTATTGAGAGAGCTGACAGTAGAAGCAGCCAGTGTTTGCTGCTATTATCATTATTCCCATCAACCATTCTTTCTGTTTTCCACCTCAGATTACATCAAATGCAAGCACAGCCTTTAATTCAGTCACTTGAAGCAAGCTTCTGTTGTAAATAAAGCTTTCACAGCCTTTAATTTAGCTTCCATTGCAGTCCCTAATATTACAAAGCTGATAAGCAGTGCTGCAAAAGGGGCCTCTTTTTCCCTGGAAATGCTTCTTTTGGATTTATATTTGAAACTAGTTGAATTTTCTGAGCTTTTGCAAGGACCAGAGGTAAATCAAAGAAGCAGTTTATTCTTCAAAGCCAGATGTGACCTTGCATCCCATCAGCCGGCCCATTCTCCTGAAGGGCTGTGATGAGAAGCTTTGATGCTCCCAGATGTGCTTGAGGATTTATTAGAGCCTGATCAATAGTAAGGGGCTGCTGAGTCTGTACCACTGATGCTTGGTGGGGTGGGGTTGCTTATGAATCTTTCCATAAGATTCAGTAAGGAAATTCTGTTTCCCACCTTGTATGAGGAAGACATAAATTAAGATAATGAAATGCCACGGAAGAAATGGGATCTAAGACATTTTAAGGGAATTTTATGCATTTCACCTGTATCTGGTTTAGTCTAGAGAGAGAAGTGTGACTTTAGGTCTTCAGCCTCAGCAGATCAGCATGGAGAGTGATCTTAGGGAAGGATGAGCTGACAAGTTTTAGGGTTCTCAAAGTGGGATCCGTACCTCATCCAGTGCATTAACATTGGATGGACACTTGTTAGAAACGCAAGTGTCCAGGCCCAAACCTAGACCTTCTGGCTCAGAAACTGAGAATTGAGCCAAGCTGTCCAGGTCTTAATGAGCTCTGTAGATGATTCTTATGCAAGATCCAGTTTGACAGCCACAAATCTAATCCCTGCTGCCCACCCAGTATGAATAGACCACAGCCTGGACCCCCCCCTCTGTAGGGCCTTAATGGGCAGCCTCAAATGGAACTGAAGCAGGATTTGTCACCACCACCTCAGTACTGAAACTTCAAGCCAGGTCACTCTTTGTTGTAGGGCCGCCGTCTGCATTGTAGGATGTTCTGGCTACATTCCTATGTTCTGCCCACTACACCAGAAATATCTGTGGTGACGACCAAAAAGGTCTGCAGGCATTGTCAAATGCTGCCCTGTGGGCCAAAGTTGTTCCTCACCTCCCACCCTCTCCTTGGAACCCCCTAGGCTAGAGCATTACTATTTCATAAGTGTCTCAAGTAACTCAAATGTGCAACCAGGACTAAGAACCACTGCTTTTGTCCTACTCTAGCTTTTTAATTGCTAGCAGAACCTGAAGAGAGTCAGTTGTAGTGGTTTAAGAGTGTGGATTCAGGAATTCTCATCCGGCTACTTACCTTGTATGTGAGGTCTCTAGGTCTGCGTTTTCTCATCTGCAAAACTGAGTAATCACACCTATCTTATAGGACCCTGGTAGCCAGGTCTGGTGGCACACACCTGTAATCCCAGTATTCGGGAGGCTGAAGCAGGAGGATTGCTGTGAGTTTAAGGCCAGCCTGAAGTGCATAGCAAACCCCTGTCTCAAAAAAGACAAAAAAAAAAAAAAAAAAATCTGAGGACCCTGGTGATGATTAAACTCAGTGATGTTGATACAGTGTCTGTAAGCGTGAGAAAGAATTTGCAGGAGAGTTATCACGATGAACCTTGTTGTAGATGCTCTTTTCCTAGCCTCACGTTTTGTTTCTGAGTTGGGTGATGCTGATCAGGACAGGTAACCTCAGGCAGATTTTTCAGGAGAGCTGGGCGGCCACCTCTTCCAATGAATCACAGCCCAAACTCAGAACCCGGGGAGCCCAAAAAGGAAAGCAGAGACACCAATGGGATACTGCAAGGTGCAGACACTTCCAGAGTGGCCATGATTCCCGCTTTTCCATGTAGTCATTAAAAAGGGAGAAATAGGAGAGGATTACTACCCTTGCCTTTCAGAAATCTCAGTATGTTGAAATGTCCCCCCTCCTAAAGATTCATGGTAATAATAACCCGTGTGGTCTGTCTCGTGCTTTTAATCTTTGCCATGTTTGTTGGTCTTGTTCCTGGTAAGCCTTCCTAAATACTATTTCTTACATGCGTCCTTTGAGCCACACCCCTACCATATTGTGTCCTTGTGCAATTGTGGAAAGATCCCAGAAATGTGGGGAGAATTGTCCACATTTGACAGACAAGGAAGTGAGGATGAGGACGTGAGGTAACTGGCCCACAGTCACACAATGGCCAGGTCAGTTCCGACCCACAGCGCCTGCTGTGTGACTGACTCTGCACCCTTAAGGAGGTATTTGTTTGTTCCGTTTGTCCAGGCGTGTGCACTGAGCCTGCTCTGAGGGTGAGTCACACAGCGCGTTGGTAGAATCACGCTGCCCTCGTCCCTGGCAGTACCCCCAATCTCCTTCCTCATAATGAAATGGAAGCTGCAGACATAGCCCTCACCGTGAAAGGGTCTTCCAGAGGTGAGCGGGCAGCCAGACAGCCTCAGTATCCCTGAATGTTACTGGTGCCCAGAGGTAAAAACAGATGAATGTCCTGCCTTTGGGGCCCTTGGGAGGATAACAGGTGACATCTGTTCTTTCTGAATTGGCAGGTCTTGTACAGATGGAACAGACAAAGCAGCACATCTGTCATTGAAACAAATAAAACATCAGTGGAGCTTTCTTTACCTTTTGATGAAGATTATATCATTGAAATTAAGCCATTCAGTGACGGAGGAGATGGCAGCAGCAGTGAACAAATTCGAATTCCAAAGATATCAAGTAAGACTGTCTTTTTTTCTGATCTTCTCTCTGCCTGTCTTATTAGTCTGCCCGATGAGACAAGGCTTGAAGGGAAATAAGCCCACGGAGAAAACCCTAGAGTAAAAGTGGACAGCAGCACTGCCCTCCCTCAGACAGTTGGTGTTTGCTGAGCAAAGACAGTTTCAGGTAAAAGACAGTTTGCCCCTTTTTGACTGATTTCATCACTTGCCAGTCAAAACATCAGATTAAAGCATCCTCATGTCAGTTATGCAGAGTTTTCCATGTTGACCTATTTGGTTTGCAATTACATAATTCCCAAGTCACAACCCAAAAATTACAAGTATGATTTAGGAGAAATGAACAGAAGTCTCTGAAAAAGGCTGTAGTACTTTGTCTCCAGTAGAGCAACGTAATCCAATGTGTTGAGCTGAAAATATTTTGAACTTAACATTTTTGAATGTGTGTACGTAATACATGTGCATAAATACAGACATATAGTTAATATTATCTTCATTTTCAAATGTAGTTAAATGATGTATGAAAATATCCTTTTCCAGCAAATACACTGAATCCTATTTTTTCAAGTACTGTGTTTGCAAGTACCCCAGCTACATAGTATTGTTTCATTTTTATAGTTCTATTTACTGTATTTGAAGATAACAGGATAAACCAATCCATGTGGGCAGAAAGCGGATTAGTGACTGGAAGTGTCTGACCAGTGGGAAGCAGCAGTTTAGTGGATATTGCTCTTCATTTCTGCTGATAAAAACATAGACAGCAGTGCTGCCTTCACACCCTCAGAGGATACTTAATGCCACTGCCTCACACAGTTTAAAATAGTTTAAGTGACCACTTTGTGTTTTGTATATTTTTACACAATGCAAAAGGAAGAATTGTCATTAAATATCTAAGTATAGATTTGCACATGCTTTTGGGGATTTTTGTTTGTTTTTTAATTTATTTTTAAAAATAAAAGAAGGAAAACGTTAACAAACAGACAACCATTTACAATATAGCAAAAGAATGATACAAACAATACAGAATTACAGACAAAGTGGTAGGAAATTAACAATGGTTGTTGTACTACATATTGATATCTTCAGAGTGGTTTCTCAGGAAAACAAATAGAGACATACAATATTGACCAATCAAGTAATCATTACCTGTTTCTTTCAGTAAAGCAATAGAAGACAGTAGTACAACTATGTCAGCTATCCTGTTTATATATACATACATAATTTCCCCTTTCTCTTCTCTTTCCCCACACCGCAGTTGCCCTTTTCTTTTTAGCATTTTCCTTTCATTTCACAATGTCTATCATACCTCTTAGTTTTTATTCACTCTTTCAGGTTTTACACTAGTGAGACAATGTGGTGCTTACACATGCAGGTCTGATTTATTTCACTTATGAGTATGGTCTCTAGTTGTGACCATTTACCTATAAAAGCCTGGAGTTTATCTTTCTTTGTAGCTGAGTAATGTGGTGAACTCACACATAAGGAAAACAAAACGAGAACAAATAATAGCCTAATGCTGCACCTCAAAATTCTACAAAAAGAAGAATAAGTCAAGCCTAAAGCCCAAAGAAGGGAGGAGATTATAAAGATCAGGGGAGAAATAAATGCATTTGAGATGAAAAAAACCCTCCAAAAAATAAATGAATCAAAGAGCTGGTTCTTTGAAAGAATAAACAAAATTGATAAACCCCTAGCCAACCTTCTCAAGAAAACAAAGGAAAGAACTCAAATTCATGCAATAAGGAATGAAAAGGATGAAATTACTACAGATTCCACAGAAATTCAGAAGATCATCAATACCTGCTTTGAAAATCTTTACTCCCACAGGATAGAAAACTCAGAAGAAATGGACAGATTCCTAGATATGTACGAATTACCAAGGTTGAGTCAAGAAGATATAAAAATCCTGCACAACCCAATATCAATTAATGATACTAAAAATGTGATTAAAAACACCGACAAAGAAAAGCCCAGGCCCTGATGGATTCACAGCAGAATTTTACAAGAAATCCAGAGAAGATTTAATACCTGCACATGCTTTTGGATTTAGCTGCCTGGAGATTAGGAATCCAGTGCAGGCTGGGTTTATAAATTTTAAAACCATCAGTGGAGTGATGATGTTTTAAACCATGGGCAAAATGTCCACTGCAGAGTACTGAGTTTTGGTCTGACTATCAGTGTGGTCAGGGTCCACCATGTTATTTTCTTGTAGCTATGAGGTGATAGTGAAGTACCCGCTGAGCAATTTTAAATTCATCTGCAAAATTTAGATGCCTCACATAAAAGAAAGAGCTCCCTGGTCGTTTTGTCTTTTCCCTGAGCTGTCTTTTGTTTTGGTTGGATTCAGTAAGTGTTTGTTGAGCTTGAAGAATAGCGCAGGATCTTACTGAGAAACTGAGGATCTGTAGACCCATGCTCCAGGACTTAGGTGTGATTTGCCAGTGTTTTGATTGAATGTTTATCTAAAGCGTCGTTTTTGCATGCGAACGCTGAAAGCTTTTTTATGTTTTAAAAATCTGGGGAAATTGTTTTGTAAATCTCACCAACTAAGGAAGCTCACTTCTACTGAAAGGGAGCCAGATATCTGATGAGAGGTGGAAGTAAACTCCAGGCCACAAAAGCACAAGATTAGGGTTTACATTTATTTCTCTCACTTGATTAAAACCTGAGTGCATACTTTCTTATCTTTACAAGGAATGTTTTAGCCTGACTTATGACTGCGGTTTCATTCATCACAAAGCCATGTGTTAAATTGCTACAGTGGTAGAGTTTTTTGATGATAAGGATGTGACTGTGAGTCAAACATGCTCTCTCCTTGCACGAGATTTGTCTTTATGTTGGTCAGTGGGATCTTACAACTTTGAAAAAACCCTGAATGACAATTTTTTTTTAAATCTTATTGTGCAAAATTTAAGACACACTAAATTTTAAAAAAGATTGAGACTCTTTGGTTTAGAGAAAAGGGATACATTTAGATATGAATATGACTCCAAATTTAAACCCCTCACTAGCTAGGTGATTTTGGACAAGTTAGTTTTCACAGCAAGAATCTCCTCAACTATCAAATAGAGTAATAATAACATCAGGCGTGGTGGCACACACCTGCAACCCCAGCACTCAGGAGACTGAGGCAAGAGGATCGTTTTGAGTTCCAGGCCAGCCTGGGCTACAAAGTGAGTTCAAGGCTAACTTAAACTCCATAGTAGGACCCTGTCCCAAAAAGACAAAAAAGCAGAGAATAACAACAACAAAAATTGGAGTAATAATGATACTTGACTGATAAGAAATTTTTGTAAGATGTATATGTCATATTGGTCTGTGCCCAGCACAAAAGGGAGCAGTCTTCTCTAGCATTGCATCGTTAATATATCATAAAGCTTTTGAGTATTGTTACCGGTAATATTCAAGTTTCTTCTCACATTTGATGTGGATATCCTCACCTTACCAAAGCTTAAGCAGGACAAAAAAAAAAAAAAAAAAGAATAAAGAAAAAAATGGACACAAAGTATTTTTAAGTAAAAAAGGGAAGAGGTGTTGAAGGGAGGGGAAGGGAATGAGGAAAAAGAAGCAGCTAGATCTACCATGTATAGGTACAAATTATTATTATTATTATTATTATGTCTTTTTGAGACAGGGTCTCGCTATGCAGTTCAGGCTGGCCTTGAGCTCACTTTGGAGCCCAGGCTGGTCTCAAACTCGCAACGATCCTCCTGCTTCAGCTTCCCAAGTGCTGGGATTACAAGTGTGCACCACCACGCCTGGCTTCAAATTCTCTATTATTAATGTTATCATTATGTATATCTAAAATGTACCAATAAAATAAATACCACAAAAAAACACTCCAAAATATAA